TATATATATATATACTATATATATATATATATATATATATATACTAATATATATATATTTATATACTAATATATATATATATATATATATATATACTAATATATAAAGCATACATGTAATATAAACATGGTATATACTAATAGCCAAAAAAAGCATAAGCGTATGTAGAAATGAAACACACACACATACACAGATAAATGACATCTATATTTCAACAGATTTAGCATACACACACATTATAAACATACACAAATATATCGTACACGAATGTACATGAAAGGCATTCACATGCAGCAGATAAAGTGTATCCACATACACGGCTGAATCTCATACACATGCATAATACGCGGAGCACTCACATACCTGCGAGAGACGACACCGTCGGTTCGAACGTGATTGCTTTGCGGTAGAGTTCTGATATCCCGCTACCTCGTGTCATGATAGTAGGCACACCACTGGCCACTAATATATAAGGAGCAAGAATGTACAAATATGGCAGGTTAAATCAGATGGGTGGATTGAAAAAACTTAAAACTAAACCTACACCACGGGTCACTAGTAAATTAGGAGTAAGAATGTAAAAATATGGTAGGTCGACAGTCAGTCGGGTGTATATTTGACTGTAAAAGAAGCATACCTGAAATCAGATACACACCTACAGATGTACGTACATCTATGTAATAAGCATACCTGAAATCAGATACACACCTACAGATGTAAGTACATCTATGTAATAAGCATACCTAAAATCGGATACTCACATATACTAATACACACCTGTCATATTATCTTGTCAGGGATCAACAATTAAACCAAAGACATAGAGAGTGCGTATCAAAAATTAAGAAATATCACTCGCCCATATATGGTGCACTACACCTACCAGCGTCGACGGTGAGAACGGACACGTGCTCTTGATAGGTTGGCCGTACTAGCAGATAGTTGCCTTCCTGCAATTCCACTATGGCTTGGGCCGAGGTCATGGACTTTATTTCAAACTGCGGGATGTCAAAGAAAAGACGGGTAGGACAGTCCGAAAATAGTATTATAAGATCAGATACTCTGTTGATGGGCGTGTCCATCTCATTTGAACAGTGCAGCTACAACATACACTGTGACGTATCCAAATATAAAGAAGTAGAATATATATATATATATATATATATATTTATACATAATAGATATGTTACCTTCCCACAGTCCTTTCCAGTCCCTACAATGTCTTGATCGCACTTGACCTCTCTACGCGAACATGCGCAGACATACATCTTGTAAACTGCAAGGCAAATCTACAGCTCCTGCACATCCAAACATGTGTGCATATATTGTGTACACAGATGACCGCACCACACACCGTTCCTCCATACATCAAATCCACACCTTGATATCCAGGGCTTCCAATGTGATTCGTATAGTCTCTGCTCGCTCCGGTTCTGCACTACCCACAAACAGCACTTTGGCCGGCAACCGTTTTCTCTTGCTATGTAGGTACGAAATAGCTTCGAGGAACATAGTGGCACCTCCATGCCTGTGTGGATATGGTGGGGTATGTTGTATGTGCAAAACGTGGTAGATATGATGTATAGGTACGCAAATTCACATAAATATACAAAATTACATCGTTCAAACATTTATATATATACATTGTATCCATACATAACATGCATACATGAATGCCTGCACGCAGTACAAGTACACACTCTCACACATGTACACACATACACACATAAATACATACACAAGGATATATACGCACACACATTCATACATACATCCACACACAAAAACACACAAACACAAATGCATACAAACATGCACGCACACATATACATACATACACAAAAATATATATATTCATACATATATGCATACATACATGTACACACATAGTTCAAACCCACACACAACCACAAACACACACACACACATATATATATATATACATACATAGATACATAGATACATTCTTGCAACCATACACAAACACAAATTCATACATATAAACATTCATACATATATACATATAAACATACATAAGTACATGCATACGTACATGCATATATATATGTACCTACATACATATAAACATAGATACATTAATCATCAATACATACACATACATAGATACATACATGCATGCACACACAAAATATATATATATACGTATATATATATATATATATATATATATATGAATATAGATATATATAAACATGCATATATATACGTATATATATATGCATATATACATATAAAGTATACATGTATATACAAATATATATATATATATACAAAGGCACAATATATATACATAAAC